CAGTTTCTGATCAGGACTTAAGAAACGTTCCTTGGGTGGGCAGGGGGCACAGGTGCAGAGTTCTAGAATCTTCTCCTGGACTCTGGATTGGTAGGGGCTTCATCTATGAAAGAAGAGCATCTGCTCCAGGCTCTGACAGGCACCAGGGCCTCCCCCGCCTCCCTCCCGCTCAGTATGGGGCGGGGCCAGGAAGTGGGCAGCCCCTCGTCCCTCCAGCAACTCGGCCAGCATCTCCTACAGTGCCTACTGGTTGATGCCCCGGGCTGGCTCCAGGGCTGGGAGAGGGAGGCGGGGAAGGGCAGAAATGGGGGCTCTTTCTCACCCAGGGCTCCTTCCCCCATGGTCCTTGGCTCCTTGCTGCAACACACCCCCTAACTGGGACTGAAAGTCTAAGTCCGTCTCAGGTGAGGCCTCTGGAGGTCCCCAGAGTGGAGCCCAACTAAATGGGCTAGTGTCCTAGTCAGAGTCCAGAGCAGGCCACCTGGGAAGGTGCACTGAGAAGCTGGCTGTGGAGGGGTCTCCCCCAGCCGGTCTCCTGGCCCCGTGGTCTTGGACTTGCAGTCTTCAGACGGTGAGCCATCTACTCTTCTGAGCCTCCCAGCTGGGCCAGCCCCTTAGCCTGGTGGTTAAGGGAAGCCGGATCCCACATGGCCAACTGCGGTCCAAATCCTGGGCCCTGTGGCTTGAAAATCATGCTGAGCGTGCTTGAGTGCGTGCCCCAAATCCTGACACAACGGCAGGTGGAGAAGGGGTCGTGGCATGACTGTGCCCGCTGGGGGCTGCTTGCTCCCTCTCCCACAAGTGCATGTGACTTTTGCAACTTAAAGTACAATGAAAGTCAGCAGGGGGGTGGAGGTTTAAGGCAGCTGGATCCCACATGGCCGACCCAGGGATTCGAGGATCGGACCCAGCGTCTCAACACACTGGGCACAAGAGCGTGTGTGTCCAAAATCCCCAGAGGGGAAGGGATTGTGGTGTGGCCATTCCCATCAGGGGTGAAGCCTCTCTGTTTCGGCAAGCACGTGGACCCTGTAGCAAAACTAAAACAAAAAAAGGCACCCGGCCTAAGGCGTTCTGCTACACCCCGAACAGAGGCGCTCGCTGAGGCCAAGCAGACCACAGGGCTCTGCTGGCCACAGGGGCCCTTCGAGGGGGACAGAGCGGAAATAACCAAGCAGAGGACGGAGGTGTAGGCCTTGGCTCTGGAATGGGCTGGTGGATTGGGGAGACGTGAGGGCCAGTGTCACCAACTTGTCCCTGGCAGTCCACAGGCCAGAGGGTGCGGCAGGCCCTGACAGCACAGCCCTGAATTTCCCGCCTGCGTGGCCCTGGACTCCCCGGCTTTGCCGCACTCCAGGCTCCCAGCAGGCCCCTCCGGAGGAGTAAATACAGCCTGGTTAATAATTCTGTCTGAATCACCCAGCAAGAGGCTCTGGACGCCTGACGCTAAGAGTGGCTCCAAAGGCCCGGCGAGACTCATTATACGGAGGTAGAACATGATTAAAAATCAATGCAGCCTCCCGCTGACGGATTTTATGAGGCCTGGACAGCGAAAAGGCAGGAGCCGGAGTCAAACTTGCCCCAAAGCAGGGAGGGCAACGTGCCTGACAGGGATTGTACGTGGGGGAAGTGAGCCCTGGACGACCACATGGGCTCATTTCTCCGTCCTGGGAGGCTGCTGCTTCCACTCAGCCCAGAGCAGCGGGTGAGGAGCGCCCGGACTGCAGGGTGGCCTAGGGAGGGCAAGGCAGCTGTCCCTCCCGGTCAGTCCCGGGCCATGCACGTGTGGCCAAGCTCACAGTCCTGCAGGCCCCTCACACAGGTGGGAGTGCCCCACCCCGGCCACGTCCTCAGGACACTCTGGCCACTGATGAACGCCTGTCGTCCGTGGCTTCTCGTGAAGAACCCCCAGTCACAGCCCTCTGCCTGGTTTTGCTAATGACCCCGATCCCTCTGTGGCATTCTGAGACATTTTCTGGGGAGCTGAGAAAGCTCCAGCAAGACTGCGAAGGCTCCGAGGGGCCCCTGGTGCTTTGCACACTCCTTCTGTCAGGCGGTCGCTGTCAAGCGCGTCCCAGGAACGGAAAACCTGACCCACACTGGCTAAAACAAAAAAAAAAAACTTAAAAAAAATTTTTTTTTAATTCCTGGAGCTTGAGTCCAGCAGTTGCCATCTTCAGGTAAGGCTTGATCCAGGACTCACAGGCTACAAGCGCATCTGCTTTTCCTCTCTCCCATTTCCGGCCCAGCCTCCTCAATGTGGGCCGTTCTCGGGAAGGCTCTCCAGCCCGGCTGCAGGCAGCAGCTTCGGTGTGTGCATCCTGCAGAGTGTGGGTCACTTCCTCTTCAACGTCCAGCCCTGCCAACCAACACTCCAGGACTGGATCTCATTGGCTCGAGTTGGCCTGGACGGGTTGTCTGTCCGTTCTCGAACCAATCAGTGTAGGGTGTGGAGACATGGGCTATGTCCTTCAGCTTAAACCAACCGAGACCCAAGTCTGGCACTGGGAGTGGGGCCAGTTCATGGAAATCTCAAGCCTGAGAAACTGCTCCAGCCTGGAATAGGGAACAGGGAATGGAGACCACAAGGGAGCCAGGAGGTCCTCATGATGATCTCTCACACTGGCCTCAGCACGTGCTGCTCCCGCTGCCTGCACACCTTCCCGCCTAACCCACTGCGTTGAGCTAATCCTCGAAGGGTGGTTTGGATGGTACTTCCTCCAAGAAGCCCTCCTTGACTGTAGCTAGCCAGGGTAGGGTACGCCAGCTCTGTGCTCGCACAGACACCTCTGAGCTCAGATGACCGTTTGCCTGTCTACCCTTTTAACTGCTTCCGTGAGAAATTATTTGTATACCCTACAGCCATCTGTATACCACACAGTGGCTGTTAGTACACTCATGGAGTTGCACTTCACAAATTCAGAGCATTTTCATCACCCCCCAAAAGAAACCTCACAGTCCTTAACATTTGCCTCACAAACCCCCACTCATAGACTTGCCCATTTTGAACACATAAGTTGCATTAAAAATTTTTTTCTCAAGAGATAAGCTCTCACTATGCTGCCCAAGATGGCCTTGAACGCACAATCCTCTGCTTCAGCCTGAGTACGGCAGCCCCAGGGATGGGGCCCCGGGCACGCCCTTGAAACATGTGTGTGTGTGTGTGTGTGTGTGTGTACAAACACATAGAGTTTTTTTTTGAAGAGGTTTTTGCCTTAGGAGTGTGTGTGCATGCTGGAGACAGACAGACAGACAGACACAGTGAGAGGGTGAGAACGCACCCCCGGGGGATGGCCAGATCACAATCCCTTCTCTGCTCTCCTCCTGGGAACTTGGGCACAAACACACACATGCCCAGCATGATTTTCAAGCCACCGAGTTTGGGACTTGAACCATAGTCAGCCATGTGGGAGTCCAGCAACATAACCATTATGCCATCTGCTGGTCCCAAGATTGTATATTTTTAAAAAATGAACACTGAACATTGTATGGACGCGGAGTCTTACGATGTGTGGCCATAGTGCCTGCTTCTTTCACTCAGCATAATGTCTTTTTTGTTTGGAGAGGTTTTTGCTATAGGGTATGTGTGCTTGCCAGAAAGACAGAGAGACAGAAAGCGAGAAATCACACACACATACACACACACACACACACACACACACACACACACACACGGAGGATGCCCACCATACAATCCCTTGTCTTCCATTCTCTTCTTGGGATTTTGGGTACACAAACACACACACACACACGCACCAGGTCCGGGACTCGAACCGCGATCGACTACATGGGAGTCCAGCAATGTAGCCATTACACCATCTGTTGGTCCCGACTCAGCATAATGTCTTAGAGTTTCATACATGTTGTGGCATACATAAATGCCTCAGTCCTTTCTAAAATTCTCTTTCCTCTGTGAGAGAAACAGCATCCTCAGCAGGGGTTCAACACTGCAGTCCTCCAGCCTTCAGTCAGCCCCAGGTCATGGGCGTACGTGTGCCTGGTGTACCCAGAGAGGACCTGAACCAGGAACCTCCCCACCTTGTACTACCTTAAAAAGCATTTTACTGCTGCCCTATTTGCCCCCCCCTTCTTTTAGTATTTTTTTCCTTTTAAAGAATTATTTAACTTTATTTATTTATTTATTTTTAATTTGGCTAAAAAGGGGTGGAGAGAGAGAGAGAGAGAAAGCAAGACACCAGGTCCGGGACTTGACCATGGTGGACCATGTGGAAGTCCAGCACCCCCAACCACCATGCCACCTGCCAGCCCCTACACATGCATGCTTGCGAGAGAGAGAGAGAGAGAGAGAGAGAGAGAGAGAGAATGAAAAACCACTCCCCCGGGGAAATGGTCACACCACAATCCCTTCTCCTCTATTCTCCTCTTTGGATTTTTGGGTGTAATGGTTATGTCACTAGACTCCCATGTAGTCGAATGCAGTTTGAGTCCCGGACCAGGCGGCTTGAAACTCACACACACTGTGCATGTGTGCATGCATGCCTAAAATCTTGAGAGGAGAAGGGATTACAGAGTGGCCATCCCCTCTGGGGGTAATTTCTTGCTTTCTGTCTGTCTCTCTGGTGAGCACACACACCCTATAGCAAAAATCTCTCCAAAAATAAAAATAAAAAAAGAGGGAAAGAAAGCACCCCCTTGGTGGAGTGACCACATAATCCCTTCTCCATTCTTCCATCCTGTGGGATCTTGGGGATGCATATGCATGTACCCAGCATGTTTTTCAGGTTGCCAGGATTGGAATTAAAACTGCAGTTGGGGCGGGGGGAGTAGCAGGTAGCACAGTGGTTAAGGCACTGGACTCCCATATGGCTGACCGCGGTTCAAGTCCCAGCCTGAAAATCATGCCAGGCACACATGCATGGTCCTCCCCTAGGGGATGATTTCTCACTTTCTCTCTTCTCTCTCTCTCCGTGGTAAGCACACGCACTCTATGACAAAAACCTTAATAAAAACAAAACAAAAAAAGCGCAGTTGGCTGTGTGGGATCCAGCTCCCTTAACCAGCAGGCTATGGGGCCCGCCTGCTTCGCACCCCTTTAGTTGAGGAATGTATACATGCTGGAATATTCACTTTGCGAGCTAAGTGACATAGGTGATTGAATGTATAAAAGAAACGGAAATAAAAAACGTACATATAAAAACAACTTAGAAGCAAGTGCTGGCAAGAGCATGGAGCACGCGACACCCGTGTGGCCTGCGGGGAGACGTGCAGTGCGAGCAGTCTGCTATGCCCCTTGCGGGTATGGGCTCAAAAGCATCAGCAGCCAGGGTCTGAATGGTTACCCACGCACCGGTGCCCACGGCAGCATCACTCAGCCCGAAGGTGGGAACAGTCACAATGTCCGTGGGTGGAGGATGAGCTAAGTGAACGTGGTACATGCAAACGGAGTACTACTCAGCCTTTGGCCACTGGCTAACACATGGTGACTCGCTGTAGGCAGGCCAAAACCGAGGCCGGGCTGCCAGCTGGAAGGTCTGACTGCAATCCAGGCTGGGCTGGTGCCAGGCGGGTCTGTGAAGGAGCAGGGAGAGAGAAGGTGGGCTTGAACCACAGGACTCATCACGTGGGGCGAGGATGAAGGGCAGGGCTGGGTTTCTGGCCTGGCTCACATGTGCCAGGACCGGGCAGGGGCGGGTCATCTCATGGTGGAAGTATGGCTCTGCTCGGCCTTGAAGACAGCCCAGCCTGTAGCTGAGTAAGCCGCCAGGAACTCTGAACGGCTCTGGCTGAAATAAAATCCGGGTGTCAGAGCAGAAGGGAGGCGACTGTTCGGAGTGAAGGCTGGGGCAAAGCCCCAGGACCCAGCACCGACTGTGGGACGGGGGGCGAGCACGGCCAGGCTGCAGAGAGGAGTACCCAGGCCTAACCTGGGGTGCAGTGCGCTACTCCTGCACTGGGGGCAGGGGGTGAGGGAAGGATGGCAGCCCTCATAATAACCAAGCCCCTGAAGTTATCAGTGACTTTGGCCAGACTGGGAGCCAGACTGCAGTGAGACGCAGGTAACTGGAGGGAAAGAAGTGGACCCAAGAGGCTGGGTGTGCCACAGTGGCGACACAAGTGGACCCACATGCACAGGGTCTTGGTCTTGTGTCCCAGGACCTCCTCGGGTGTGCGGGCGCACACACGTGCCCATGACCCTGGATGGCTGGTATCGGGGGTGGGCCGCAGTGTGAAAACGGGCTGGGGTGCCCCTCTCTCATAGAATAAACACGGGGAAAAAGCAGACCTGAGAAGTTTGGCCTGTAAGTGGGGAAGGGAGTCTGCTGCTGTGGAGGAAGGTTTCTTTTTAAAATTTCTTCCATGAGAGAGAGGCAGAGACCGAGAGACAGGCACGCCCAGCAGGGTCTTACACTAGCCCACCGTCTCAGCCGGCCTGGACCACCGGCATACACTTGCCTTGTGTGCACACGGAGGTTCTGGGACACGAGCCCAGGCCCTCCTGCGTGGGTCCAGCTAGTGACTCCTGCATGGTGTTCCCATGGGGGTTCCCCCTTTGTACTGGCGAGAACCTGAACAGGCTTTACTGCAGACGGGAGGGCCTGGTGAAGTGGGGGGCTGCTCAGCTCACCGGCCTCCTCCCCTCCACAGCACCACCCCGTGCTGCTTCCCCGCCGCGCGGCACAAGCTGGACTCACTGGTGATGCCTGGGGCCCTGCGGAGAGATGTCTGCGTGCCGAGAACTGTTTCCACCCTTGCTTGGCGGGCTGGCTGCGGCTGCTCTCCGGACGAGGGCACACACGTGCCTGCGGGTCTAACGAGCAGATTCCTCAGTCCTACCAAGGTCAGCTTCCCCTGCAAACTGGGAAGGCCAACGGTTTAAGGCTCAGCTCCTGAGTGGGTCACACTGACCCCCTAGTGCCCACTCTCCAAACTGCTGAGCAGGCTTCTCTTCCTGGGGGTAGTCAGGCCAGTGCTGAGGGGTAGGGACCAATTCTACGAAATGCCCCCCACCCCACCCCGTGCGGGCAGCTTCCGGCAGAGCTGGCAGTGCAGGCCTGCAGGGAGAAGCCAGCACGTTTTCCCTTAAGGCAGTCACTTAGCCAGCCCCGAGGTTCCTTGCCATGCCGGAGGGGGTGTTCGGCTATCACTCTCCCAACTTGCAGGTCCTGGGAAGGGCAGGCCGCCCAGAGGCAGCTGGGAGCAGGCCGAGTGGACTTCCCCAGGGCCCTGGGACCCTGGCACCAAACTCAGCAGGTCATGTTTCGGTTGGACACCTGCCCTGGACTCAGCCTGCCCTGTTTTATCAGAACTCAGAGAGACCCGAGCCCCTCCCACCCAGGACCCTGTGAGTTACTTCTCTGACTTCAGAAGATTCTGCCTACCACTGTGTTTGCTGACATTCTCTCTGTCCACCAAAGGCAGCTGCCAATCAGAGGGGCCCACCTGAGTCAGCCAGTGACGGCCAGGACCTGTGTACCGCAGGAAGGAGGGTGCAGAGAGCACAGGGCACTGCCAGGCCGACCTGGACAGAGCTGCTCTATGACTTCTCCCTCCAACGTCCGGACAGTGTTGGCTGCACACTTACTATGGCCAGGCCCGGCCCAGGGTAAGCCCCAAAATGGGGCTAACAGGATCCACATCTTTGTGGCCGGCTTGGGTCAGTCTCCTCACTTCACGCTGGAGCCACTGGTGAGACATCCACCGTCCACAGTGCAGTGGTGAGGGGCTTGGCAAACAAGAGAAGGCAGGTGGGGTGTCAGATGCCGCCCCTCAAAGGTGTCCTGCTGCCCGTGGCCCAGCCCAGGAGCAGGCTCCTGCCCACAGGGCTATCCCTCGCTGAGCTCCTGCTCCGAGCCAGGCACTGGTGAGACCGAGCACGCGAAGACTCCGGGCTCCACTGCATAGCTGTGATCAGGCTTGCAGGCATGGTCTCGCCCACACCAGGCCCAGGCCCTAGGTGCAAGTCTACGGCTGGTAACGCCCACCTCGGTCAACCTGGGCAGCTGCATTTGTAACTGGGGAGGCCTGAGCCTGGCTGGGTGTGCAGAACCCAGTGAGACCTGGGAATAGCCAGAGCTCCGAAGATGGTCCAGGGAGAGTACCACAGCCAACCCTGGCCAAACACCTGCCTGCGGCCCCACCCTCCAGCCTGTGACAGCTGAGGCTGACCCGAGGCTGAGGAAGGCTAGCCGAGCCAGGTCAGGACAGCCAAGCTGGCCTCTCGGGGGCCCACAGGAGACCACTGGAGCAGGAGCCCCGTGTCTCGCAGGGAGGTGGGTACGAGCCGGAGTGAGACTGAATGGACGGGGCGGTCCCTAATCCCACGCTGACCTGTCACCCCGTAGCCTGGGTCCGGGACTCTCCACTCAGAATACCAGGGACCCTTGGTATAAGGCGGGTGCACTCGCCGGAGAAAGAGCCCAAGTGCACCAACTGGGGATAGGGGTGGCCACGCCAGTCTCTTCTCTATTCTCTCAGGATTTGGGGCATGTAAGCACACATCCCTAGCACGTTTTTCTTTCTAATTATTTTAACTTTATTTATTATTTATTTTTAATTTGACCAGAGCAACAGAGAGAGAAAGAGAAAGCAAGAAAGCAAGCAGCCAGGTCCAGGACTTGACCCGTGGACAGCCACGTGGGAGTACAGCACCCTTAACCACCACGCCACCTGCCAGCCCCCCTAGCATGTTTTTCAAGCTACGTCGTTCGGAACTCCAATCCCAAAGTGGGTCAAGTGGGATCCAGCCACCTTAACCACTATGCCACTGGCTGGCCCGCCATTTGCTGAGCCCTCCCTGTGCCACTGACTCGGAGGACATGCCAGGCCAACTGAACCTCCATCGCTCCAGCCAAGCCAGTTAGCCGTGGGCTCTTGTCTCTGCTCTGGTGTTGACTAGCATAGAGGGTGTTGATGGGGAAGAGGCCTTTTTTAGGCCCAGTCTTTCTGAAGCCCAGTAGTTTTCCTGTGTGTGTTTCTGTGTATTTTGCTTTTTTTTGGGAGAGGTTTTGCTATAGGGTGCATGCGCTTGCCAGAGAGAGAGACAGAGACAGAAAGCGAGAAATCACCCCCACCCGGGGAAGGATGGCCATGCTGCAATCCATTTTCTGCCATTCTCCTCTTGGGATCTTGGGCACGCACACACCTGGCATGAGTTTAAGTCACTGGGTCTGGGACCCAGACCACGGTTGACTATGTAGGAGTCCAGTGACACAGTCATACGCCCACTGTTGGTCCCGTGTTCCTGTGCAGTTTTAATTGCCAGAAGACATGTGTACTTGCCAGAGGGGGAGACGGCAGGAGAGGAGGGGAGAAAGCACATCCCGGTGAGATCTGGTCACGCCACAACCCCTTTTCCACCTCTCCATCCTGGAGGGAGTTGAGGCACACGCTATGCATGGACAGGCGTGCCCAGCATGTTTTTCAAGCTGCAGGGGCAGGGACTCAAACCACATGTTTGAACAGCCACGTGGGATCCACCTCCCTAACCACTAGGCTATGAGGCTGGTCCACGTGCAGGCCACCACTTCCAGCTTCACAGGGCACGCCAGGAAGGGATCTCGGCCCACAGAGCAGCAGCACCCAGGCACACTCCGGCTGCCCCCACGCCCCTCCCAATTCCCGAGGTCACAGAGGCGGGGCTTTGGAAGGATGGCACACAGAGGGTGCGCTGGGCAGCTGCGCTCACACGGGCTCCAGGATAGGCAGCTGCCCAGAGCAGAATCAGCAATGGCTGGGCATCGTAGGTGTAGAAAGGGCCAGTTTTGACCCAGAAGGTTCTATCTTGATGCTAATGAGGCAGCAGGAGCATATATAAGTCTTCAAACTCATCAAATGTTACATTTCAGAAGGGTGAATTTGGCTGGATGTAAAATATACCTCAACTTAAAACATCTTGAGTTCAATGAAGGGCTTGAGCCTAAAACCTGGATTTCTCCAGTTCTGATGTGGGGGAACCACAGGGCTAGTGATAACCACTGCCAGCAGGAGGCGCCTCCGAGCACATGCTGCCAGGACCAGTTCCCAGAGGCCTTAGCCTGCCCAGCGAGGGGGGGAGGCAGGACCTAGGCAGCCCTCGGTCGTTTGCATTTTAATGGCAGGGGGGGC